TGGCAGGAGACCATATTAAAGAATGTATCAATTATTTTTATTAATGGGAGGCTACTGGATCATGATGTATCATAATGGACTAAATGTTTAGCAGTTGTGAAGTGTTTTGTCTGTTAGGTATCTCAGATGTTCTTAGCGGATGTTATTATATTGTCTTGTGATGGCATTCTTTGAGGGATCGGGTAGCAAAGTATCACAAGGGACATATAAAGAGATGTTTTAATTTCAGTCCTTTAATAGTATTCATATAATAGATATAAAATACTGGCATGTATAAAATGTAATTTTAAAAAGATTGCATGTACAGTACGTAATGAAGTACATTCTGTCTGCATACATTGACTTAGAAAACAAGATACTATATGGTTAACAATGAAAAATGGCAATTATTACAAAAATATTCTACAGTCTCATAATAGTAATGTAAATACCTTTACTTATCTAAGGGATTTAACATAATTTTAAATTATAATAATTTTACATCCTCCATTCATATATACAGCCTTATTAGAGTCAAACGGTATTATAATAACAATGTTCTTATTAAGATTAAATGACTGAATTATAGTTATTTTACTATATAAAGCAGCTGTGTTCCTGTTTGTTAAAATTGTTTGCACTTACTGTTCACACTATCCGCACTATGCACAATGACATAATTTAGTTTTCTGTTCTTAGTATAGCGTCTATATCTATTTCATGAATTAAACAGAATGTTAATATTTCAGCTCCCTTTCCTTTTGTGTATCAGTCCACTGTTTTCTCTATTCTGTAAGAGTAAGTCCACCAGCTTTGAAACAGCTGCTACTGAAAACAAGCAAGAACTCATTTAATACATCTCGACAAAAATAACCAGTTCCCCTCACACCCTGCCCTTCTTGAGGTCAAACTCTGTAAGTCTTTAAATTCTTGTTCAGACCCAGAGCCACAGACATATTATACATCTCCTTCATGAGATTTCATTAAACAGATCTCTGTAGGAAATAGATAAAAAGTATGTTTTGCTTGCACCACATTTCAGTCCAATAAAGCTCTCATGGACAGCAAAGAAATTCTGCATAAAGAGGGACATCAGGATTTGGCCGTGTAGCCATGAAATCGCTTTCCTCTGTGCAAGATGACAGGACTGTGCTTTGCTTTGCTTTGCTCTGCTCTGCTCTAAAAGTCCTCTCACCTTCAAAGCAGCTTCACCAAACCCGGGATGGGAGAGAGAGTGTTTATTCCAAGTCTGGGATACAGTTATCAGCACACACATCTCCTAAATACCTTTAATACCACATATTCACACCTAGAATGTCCTAGATTACTGTTTCTTGCACCCTGTACCACCATTTAATTTCAAGGCTGATGCCGTAATACAGGTTATAGTTATTAGTTGAAATACTAATTATGATGACTTCCTACTAGAAAAATCATAATGGTAGTGAAACAACATTGCCATAATACACACCTACAGGTATGAATACACTTAGTGTTTTGGGGAAGGGGATTGGGGAGTTTTGTATGAATGAAGACAACTAGAATATGTTTAGTGATAGATGCAATACAGTAGTATATCAATACAGTATATTGCAAAAAGAGCATTGATGGTCTTCTGTTAAGTTTCTCATGCAGGAAAAGAAAAAGAAGTCTGGTGCTTCAGACAGAAGCAATTGTCAGAAGAATGAAAATCAACTTTAAAAAAATTAATGGATGTGCTATAATGTTTTTTTAGAACAGTGCTTATAAAAGTGATGAAATTCAGGATGTTATTTAAAGTCAATATAGTTCAGAAGTATGATCTAACTCCCATGTAAAAGTTCAATGGGAAAATCATGTAATACATTCATATGTAATTTCTTTTTCTCCATTATGAGCAATCCACACTGGTGTATTTAAAACTAATGTAGCAGAAACTGCAGTGCAAGGACAAATGGAATTTGATATCAACCAAGTATCCCTTCCTTTCATCAGCTGAATCAGACAACACACGTCCTACACTAGACATAATGTGGGCATAAATGTTACTTTTAAGTCATCATATTTTATATTAAAATGTCAATATTAACTAGTCTTTGGTAAAACTAAGTGATTTCTCTTTTAAGAAGCCTGATTTACAAAAGCTAACAATTTAAATGATGATCAGTCGTATGTTCAATTACCTTTGGTTAATACCCATTTGTTTTTCCATCCATTTCCTCCATGCTACAAAAAAAAGAGAAAATTATGAGAACCCTGTTTGTTGTTATTATTTCTAACCATTCAGTGGAAGCATATCATAGTCTGTTCTGAGGTCAGGTGTTGGCCTATCTGGGAACCCACACGTAAGCACCAAGAAGATCAGTACTGCTCTGTTCAGTTTACATCCAAGTAATTTGCACAGGCTTATAGAAATCCTGGATTTTCCTAAAATCATATATATTCTTGTGAAATTGGATACTCCATCATCTTTCATACCCATCCAGATGTAATTTATTATCCCACTGCTAAACTGCCAATTAAGAAACTATCATGACACTAGCATGGTTGGTCAGGAATGCGCTATGGCCCTGGAGGAACACAAACCTCACAAGAACTGTGAAGAAGACCCAGGTACCAATAACAGAAGAGGCAAAAGGAAGAAACAATTGTTCTGTTCTTGGGTAATATGTTTAAATGCCTTTAAAATGTTCATGCAAACAACAATCCACGTTAATCTCTTATTATTTCCAATCCTGTGACACTTCAAGGGTGCGAGGCAGGCTCAGTGACAGCAACATTAATACACACTTTTGGAACATATTTTGAACTGTTAGAGAACTCCCTAATGTGATCTTTTGGCTTTAGTTGAATAGCTACGAAGAACCTGTGCCAGCTTGTTTTCCCATGTGTTAATATTACAATTAGAATGAATGCACTTAATGTCCTCCAGGAATATACATCACTCTCCAGAATTTCACTATACATAGAAATGATATGCCTTCTATCTGCCTTCTAACTGCCAAGCCTTTACTGAGTCATCAAAATAGGTTTTCTGAACACCCCCTCCCAGCAAGCTAGTTATGAGAAGCAGTGCATCACATCAACACTTCTGAATTTCTCCTTCAGTTTGAAAAGTCTTCCTTCTCAGCTTTTCTGTAGTGAATCTAAAGTCAAATCTGAAATTAAATTCTTTTTGTTTCAAGTGTATGCAATGGGAATCTTATAATTTCCCTCCATTATCAAATGAATAAAAGGCATATGTATGGATAAAGTAGAGTCCCTTTGGAAAAACCTTACTGTATTGCCAAAGGACAGCGAAAACATTGTCCAGAAGCACACTGACGTGCTTCCAAATTCTGATCTCTTCCACACAAAAAGGGACACAGTTTGAATATTCTTGGAATAAGCAGTTGAAATAGCACTGTGACCAGTAGTGCTTGTTTTAAATTGTGCTAATTGTAACCTGGAGTATCTTTTTGGAGTCTTGTACATCCATGCAGTCATTCTGCTGAAATGTAATTCTATTGCTGTCTTAGTTCATTTGAGTCTCTGTCATTATGTTCGTTTCCATTTTTCTCCTGTATTATTAAAATATATATTACAAGTCTGGGTTTTTTCCTACAAATGAAATTTTTAAAAAATGGAATTCCATGGAAAGTTTAATAGATTTTCTGCTTTTAAAGAGAAGCCTACACAGTTTAAATTTCATGCTCACTTCACTTGTGTGAAAGCACTACCATCTGTTTTTTTCAGATTTAAAAACCTGTAAAATCTCTACAGTTCCCAGCTTAAATAGTTCCCTGTTGCTTCACGTTTTGTAGAATTTTTAGTTATATAGAAAAAAGAAATAAGCAAATTATTAAAACTCATGTATATAGCAGAGAAAAGTGAACACAGATTGAAGAGAGAGTTTGAATACACTTTTGTAACATGCATATTCCTTTTGTGGTAACCATTTTCATAGTGCTGTAAAAAGTCATGGAATGTCAGTAAAAACATTCCTAGTGAAGAAAGATTTGTGCAAATGTCATCTGTGAACAGAGGGTGTAAATTTGGAGCAAAGTGATATGAGTTCATGTCCATCTCATTTTCCTGTGAAGTAAGGGCTGATTTAAACCCTTGTCATGTAGTAACTTATCTTCACAGTGGCTCTCCTTATTCGTCTTTAAAATAAGCACAAACACCATTGTTTAAGTACAGCTTAGTCTTTTAGAGAAGTATGAGGCCCTTTCTGCTTTTATAAGTCATCTCCATCATCTGTGCTAAAGCTGCTTCTCCTGCTGCTCTCTTTTGATGCAGCTGGGGATGTGGAGGACAAGAGTGGGTCTGTTCCAAATGGAGACACCGTATCATCCAGTAAAATTTCCTCTAGTCGTTGCTCTTCTTTTAAAGCTGCACTGAAGGACAAATCTGTGAAGTGTGAAAGTGGATCAGAAAAGGCTGTAGATCCATCACAAACATCAGAATTTTGCCCATGTGCTAGCGGCATTTGTTGAGAGTAGTCTACAGAGTTCTCCTCCGGATAAGACTGTTGCTTGATGACCTGTGCAGCTAAATCAACAGCACTGAGTGAAGACATGACTGGAAGGCCGTGTGCACGTGCCTGGATCTCTAATTCCTAATATTTCAAACAAAAACAATTAGATAATGAATTCAAAAGAAAAAAGAGTGTCTTCAGATCTACTGCAATAAGTATACAGATCGTAATGCAATTGAATGTTACTTTTGTTCCCATTGTGAGCCTGTTTTAAAATATGAAATTGTTAATCTATGAACATTTACCACTCAAGTGTTTTTATTTCTCCTCCTGTTGTTAAGTTACTGTCCTATGGGCATGTAAGAGATAAGACAACCTCTCTAAAACTATCGCATACTAAGCCAAATAAAGGCGACAGAAAAATGTTACAACTTTCTAATCAGTTATCCACAGTGGTCCAGAGAAACATAAGATACTTTACTTGATGATGCATATGATATATAGCTATATATATCATATAGATATATATAAAAACCATAGATATATATGTAAAACACTGTATTGATTTTATGTCTGTCTATCTATCTCATCTTCAAATGCGTCTATATTCAAATCTTGCATTTCAAGCCATGAAGGGCTATATTCTGCTGCTTCATGTCACAAGCAGATGTAACATGGCTCACTATACCAAAGAAAGTATAAAATTTGAAATTATTACAAAGGGAAAATGAAAATACTGAAGGGAATTTTGTGTCCGGTATTGATTTTTTACTGCATGAATTTACGTTTTTGGATCCTTTTTTGTCTTTCTCTGTCTCTAATGCATATGAAACCAGGACAATAAGGAAATTGTTTCTACAAATACTTTATTAACTTTAATAACTTTCCAGGTATTCCTTTATATAAGGTCTAATTATCAAATGAATTTCCTAGAAATGTAAAAATACCCCCTCCCCAATATACACAGCAATAAATAGGGAAAGCCAATTTATTTTTAATAAATGCCATTTGGTGGAAAATGATATAGGTTAATAAAATTTGATGAGGGGTAGGTACTGAGAAAGCTTTGTAGTTCATGGCAACGCTCTTATGCAAACCTGAATTCGGAGTAGAAGTCTTCTGTTAGTATGTTCTAATTTCTTTTGCCTGTGTTCTAATTCTCTGGCTCTCTGTTGTTCTTTTTGTAGCCACTTGATGTACTCCACTGATGCTTTTAAAATAGTTCCTTTGTTCCAGCGCATATCACTGCAGAATGTAGAGATAACCTTTTCACAATTGTGCATGTCAGCAGAATTCATAAGAACTTACAAAATCTTTTACATTAATATGAAATAATGATTTACATGACTATTATTCACTCTTAGATATTATTGCTTCTGAATGGAAATTTTAATAGAATAGTTAAGAAGCCCTTATATAGTAAAATTAATCCCAGAATGAAAATAAGTGTCAAAAGAAAGTAATAAAGTGACTTTTTGTGGGAGAGCTAAATGCAATATCATGATTCTACCATTACAGTTTTTATATTTTTAGTGAAAATTGCTTTTATTATTAACTCTAAGATTAAAATCTATGTGGAGTATTTCTGCATTAATGAACTAGGAAATATACATCACTGAGGACTTAAGCCTAAATTTTTAAAAATCATTTTGAATATACTACTCCTTTTACCTGACTTACTAATGATGTTGCTTTTATGCTTGTGGAAAAAAAAATGGTCTGTGCTGAATGCAACTCCTCACTGATGGTAGACTAGACAAATCACACTTTCACAACTATAATGTCTATGGAATGACAGAAATCCCGTTCAAAAATCTTGAAACAATATAACCCAAGTTAAAATCCACAGCTACATGCAGACCCCAACTCCATACAAAAGCCTTGCAGAAAACCTCATAAGATTACACCTGTCCATCATTCAGGAAATCATGGTTTAATTCCAGCTTACAAGCAGCCTTACTAACAACAATGCACTAGTTCAAATGGATCGGTTCAAGGACTTTCATGTACTCATTTATTAACTTTCCATGTATTCCTTTATGTAAGGCCTTGGAACAAGATGAAATTTGTTGAAAATGTTTAATTTCTAATAAAGTACAGTATGATACAGGATGATACTGTTGTGTTAAATATACAGACAAAAGATTTTATCCAAACTATCCACTTCACTGCAAGATGGCTTAGATCGAGCAGAAGATTGGTGGAGGTTCTGGTCCTATAAAATAACCCTGAGAAAGAAAAAGCTATTTGAACCAGTAAGAATCTGAGGTTGGGAGTGACAAGTAACCACCCTTTTTTTTTGTTTTTCTTTATTACCTATTCCAAATACATATAAACTGGCATTTATGGAGTCAAAAAGAGATATAAATTATACTCCAGTTGATCATCGCTTATGATTATCTGGTTGCTTTAGCTAATGAGACTTGCTCCTACTCATATGCTCACCTCTGGTTAGTAAAACCAATCTGGAGTGGATTTATTGCAGAAATGTCTATTCTTTACATTCAACCTCTCAGATTAAGTGCCTAAAGAACCTTGCAAACTTACCCCCCAGGCTAAGCACCCTTGGATTTTCACCAAGGCAGTTGCCTTTCCAATGAATGTATAGGGCAAAAGCCAGGGAGGTGCAGGAAGTAGGCATCCATACCACCTGACCTTTCCTGATGCATTGTACTAGCCATAAAACTTTAGAGAGCTGATAGCTTTAAAGATACTCAGAAGAATACGCAAAATTATATTGTGATAAAGCATTATGGTGTTAAACCACATCCTAGAATTTAAAACATTTACTAGAGATTTGGGAGAACCAGCTTTTTGATCAGAGAAGGCTCGAATTCACACCTCTGTCCTATTTGGGCAACACACTTGGACCTCCCATTGTCCCAGTGATATAAGCCAGGAATGCACAGTTTTTGGGATTAGAAAGTGAGGAGGTCAGAGAGAAAATATTATTGTCTCAGACTCTGTTGTCTGCAAAGCCAAAACATCAGAGGCTGCTTGCTGAAGTGGCCTCATTTAGACATTCCCTGATCAAAAACCACTAAAGCTGAGGTGGGTCTGGGAACCAAGAACAGAACCTGTCTCCCTCATGACAGCTGAGTCATCTCTTGTCAGTCCCTCTGCCTTCTTTCTCTCCCTGTACTTCTTGCCCAGGTGAGAGGACAGAACATTTTCCTGCCAGCATCCCATGGATTCCCTTCTAGGAGAGGACTTTCTTCTCGCATGTGGGATACCTATATTCAAACTGTAAAGGTTAAGAAAGTTTTTAGTACATGTGATGTTTATTTTCTGGGCAAATCTTTGACTGCCATCGCATTATAATCTTGATTTCTTCAGACGTCTTTGGAAAGTTAGGTATAATAATGAAAGGTCCATATTTACACTTTCACTGCAGTGGAGTTTGAAGGCAGTGAGGTACCTGTCTACAACAGAGTACTCCTAAGTGAATAGGAGCAGCTTAATTTAGGAGAACAACAACATTTCAAACTGGGAATCTCCACTGTCATCTCAGATATGGTCTATATGTGCTATATATACCTCAGAATTACAGTAGGGTTTTGTTTGATTTCAAGTGAAAACGACTGATTTAGGACATTTTCATGGTAACTTTGGAAAGTGCTACTGTAGTAAGAATACTTTTAGTATAAACTTCGGAGAAACACAGTCTGTCTAGGTAAGGGGTCAGCTCCTCCTAGCATGTAATTAAGACAAAACTAAGCAAGTTTTGGACTGCTTTTCTGAACATAAAAAACCCCTATGAAATTAGAAATTAACCCATAGCTGGCAAAATGGAAATAAATAAGGCATGTAACAGCAGGAGAAAGATATGCATATATCACATATTTGGCAAATATTTCAGAGTGATTTCACAAAAAAAATTCAGGTCAGTTATAAAATGTTATAAATTCAAAATCAAATTCAGACAAAGAATTTTTTGTTAATTTTTCTGATTTACACATGAATACTCCATATATTCACGAATTTGTATTCACGAATATTCATTCTATATTTGGAATCTTTTTGTGATGGAATTCATTCATGTTATACATAACTGACAACCTTTGTGATATTGCTTACTTTTAATTCTGGTTACCTTTATATTTTAATTCTTTATATATATGGTAATGATATTTTTTTTCTTATAGGTTGAAATTAATCTTCACTGGAGGGCTAATTCATGGATTCAAATTGCCAAGAAGATGGATCTGGGCAGCTTCTGCACGAGATATATATGGATAGACATCTCTTCTTGCAATATTTATAGATTTGAGAGGCAAAACTATCATGGAGCTCTAAGATGCTGTGGCCAATATTATCATTTAAGAGACTGCTATTTTATGTGTGTGTATGTGTGTGTATGCATGTATCCTGCATGTCTTCTATGTCTCTACTCATTTATACATATATGGGTTGTTGTCTTATTAAATGAGGAATATTGAACTTAAGTCTTCCAGTGTCTGAAGGCAACACAGCAAAGGATCAGATGGTGACCTTAGAAGTCAACATCTTTTTCACTAAGTGTCTCTTATTTATACATGGATCAAAAGAAAATACTGGAGATGTCTGTGCTGGTTCTGCATCGCAGACACTCTCCATCCATTCTAACCCAGAGCACCTACAGCAGTCATAGCACAGTGCTATGGAGAAACAGAGGCTCTGTGCAGATGTGCAGGGTTGGAAAAGTAGCAGTATAACTAGTGAGGATGAAGGCAAATGGGGGGAATAGCATGAGGGAGTTGCCTGTATAGCAATAGTCTGCAACACATCTAGCTCTGCTTAGCAAGCAGACAGGCAAGCAGATTCATCTATGGTGGCAAGAAATAACTAACTCAGCATTTGAAGATGGATTAAATCCAAGCACAGCAAGTGCATAGGAAGAATTCAGAAATTCCCTGATCAGTTGTTGGTTTTCTGTTATTTCTCTGAAAAAGCTGAATTCTACACTGGATGTAAACAAGATTGTCTAAAAAGTCATAAAATTGGCACAATGAAATTGTGGGGTTTTACTTTTAAAGATTTATATTTTATGCTTGCTCAGTATATAATAGAGAAAAAATCTGAAATAACAAGGTGTACAAACCCGTTTGAGAACATTTAAAACCTGAGCAGCTACTGGCAGTTGCTAGTCCTTTTATTGGAAACTACTTTATAAAACCAGACAAACAGTTGCATTCATTACTGTTTTGAATCTACAAAGTTAGATATAGATCTCTCTCTTTGGAGACAGCAGGAATCCCTTTTTTCATTTTACTCTTTCACTGCCTATTAATTCCTTTCTTGTTTAGGGGTGGGGGTGGGGAGGGTTTGTTTCTTTCTTTGCTTGGGGTTTTTTATGTAAGGCTCCATCCTGTAAATACTGAAACACACAAGAAATTCACATGAGAAACAATAACTTGAGCGCAGTAAGAAGTTTTGCAGGTCTAGTCAGCAATGATCTCTGCAAATGAAGATTGTCTCTGCCTCTGTGTGTGCGTGTAATACAACAGTTTGAAATTTTTAGCAAGCTATGCATGTGAAATCTAGGTTAATTAAGAGAGGTCTACCACACATAACATGATTTGCATGGAAAAATAGCAGATAAGTAAAAAAACGTGTTTTATTAGTCTCTGAACCCTAACTCCTCCTAATTTCACCAGCTGAATCTCTCTACAAATCTCAAATGCCCAGACAAAAACATGTAACTCTCACCTGGGAGAGTTTCTTATTTAGAAGAAAAGAAGCACAGCCATGAAACTGATCTTCAACTCATTTCCATTAAGCAACTTTGCTGAAGACAAAGGAACTTCACTAGTTTACACAAGTTCAACTCCAGTAGATAAGAGCACCTGATCGTCTAAGAATAAAACTAATTAACAAAAACAGAGTTTGGGAAAGGGTGATAGGCACATAGCTTGCCAGCCACAGAACAGTTACTGACAATGAATACATTTGTGAAGTTGAAGCTACAAAATTTCTGTCCCTATTTCTGAGACATTAGCTATAAACTATGCTTGCTCAAAGAAATACTTCCCAGGACTTTATACTTGTTTTGATGACCTGCACAGTTACAAAGTGCATTCTCTGGAAAGAGGCAGCAAGTTTCCACTTTATAATAGCATGATATATATATATGCAAGCCTTTTCTTTACAAGAAACATGGCTGTGCTGGCCACTTACAGATCTGTCCACAAACAACAGAGAGAAGGTCAGGCACTGGCAGATACAGAGAGCACAGAGGAGAGATCGAGGGCAAACCACTACTTCTGCCCAAATCCTCAGTGGTTCTCTTAACATCCCAGTTCTGTACAATGACTGGAATTCTTAAAGGAAATATTTTTTCTTCTTAGTATTTCTGACAATTCTAGTCATAAGACAGTTCTTGTGTAGGCATTTCCAGACTCCATCACAACGTGAAGTCCAGTTAACCACTTAAAAGGTGGATTCTGAAAGGCTGAACACAAAGGAACAATGAATGGAAAGGTAGAGATATTTAAAGGAGCAGGTTATATGCTTTTCAGCAAAATATGACTGCGTATTTTAGGTCCTTTTTTTATTCTATTTTTGAATTATTCTGTATAACTGTTTTGCATTTCTGAATCATCTACCACTTGGATATCTAAGCATTGAAAATTAAACAAAAGAGTGAAAGTTCTTTGCAACTTATACTTATCTCCATTTTCTAATGCTGATGAAGTGAACTTGAAACACCCATTCATTTAAGCAATGTAATCCACACTTTTCATCATTAAATTAAAAAAAAAAATAAAAAAGAAAAAAAATGAAAAGAATAGGGGTTTAAGCCAGTCAAAAGAAAGTCCCTGCGGAAGCTCTGCAGGAGCCAAACAAGTTCACTATATAACTAACAAAACAGAAGTGAAATAAAAACCCCACACACCACTTCTAAGAAATATAAATCATAAAAGGTTTCCAAATAGCATCAAAAATGTCCTTTTCTGTTCCTGAGTCTGAATGTAATCTTCTTGAAGCAAGCCATCTGGGACAGGCATGCTAACCACAATGGCTTAGTTATAGTAGTATTTGCTCTTCAATACAAAAGCTGATTTGCTTCACTGTCATTAGTCCAAGCATCAGTAAGGTTTCTCCTTTTACAGCTAAGTTCCCACTATAAGAAGAATCTTCTAAAATCAATATATGAGGTGAAAATGCTATGTGTGGTAAAATGCTACAGATAAAGTATTGTAAGAGATGTTATATCTCTTTCTTTCAAAGAAGAAGGGGGCAGATTTGGGGCAGAGTAAGGTGTTATGAAGGAAAAAGCAAGAACTGAAAGAGAGTGTAAGGACCCGGACTTATGATTTGGCAAGACAGGACCATACCAGAAAGAAATAATAATTTTGATCTGCGCAGCCAACAAAACAACATAACAAATTAATGTACTTCAAGCTATAAATATATATATTTTTAAAAGTGTTTACACTTCTTTGGATTAATGTAACCTGGCACCAAACTATAGCAAAGTTAAGTTATAAACTAGTTCTTCAAAAGCATCCTGCGTCTTTTGATGCCTCTTTTTTTTAACACCAACTTAAAAGCTTCTAAATAAAGTTATTTTAAAAAGGGTACTGATTACCAGCCTTTTGAAGACAGCAGTCCTCAGAACATGAGACACTTAAGTTCACCTCCTGCTTTTGTAAACATAAACCACTTTTGGGCTGTCATACTGATTATTTCAGTCATGGGTTTTCCAACTAAAACAAGAAAAGGCGATGTTTTCAGGTTCTATACCTGAAGCTTTTACATCAACATCACCACCAAAATCTGTGGGTAAAATCCATTATCCACTTATTCGAGCAAAATTATAGGTCCAGATAAGTCATTTTAAGAACTTAAGTGATTGCTCTAGGTATTAATGTTTTCAGTAAGTTCACAATCTAAACCTGAATCTAAATCTAAAACCGAAACACCTCTGTAGGCAATCATAAATCACAACTGGAATTTATCTCTCATGTCCATTTCTAATTGCAGTACAACTTGCTTTCAGTATTGCTTTATAGCTGCAAACCAACAGTGCCATCGTCTGTTTTTCTGAGAAATCTTTCAATCACTTACCCAAAATGGTCTTGAATACTGAAACATGCACCAGCAAAACTAAAAGTCTTCTACCATTCTGTGTTTGCAATGGATCACATGTGATCAAAACTTTATTTAGGTACTTAAATCCCTTTTTATTTTAACTCAACTGTAATATCTAATTCTATATTAATAACAAGAACATGACCATTTGTCTAATCTTTGGTGGGTGCTGTAGATGGAGCAAACAGAGAGTTCTCTAAAATGGATTTGTTATGTTAACTTTCTCTCTGATGATTTCACTCCAAGTGGCTTGGTATGCCAACCTTGTACTTATGTAAGCCTCACACAGCTTTATATTGTTGTAGAAATCCTTAATACAATCAAAAGTTTCTTAGTCCCAAGAAAAAGAAGAAAAAGAAAAAAAAGGTTGAAATATCAATAGATGTTTTCGTTTGAAGTATCATGCAAGTCTGTATTGACATGCAAATGATAAAGACAAAATCTGTATAACCAATTTTATTCCTGTTAGGGTCATGCTAGCGACTGGTCTTAAGACTTCCCTGAGTAACATGAGAAATGTAAGGCTAAAGTTCAGTATTAAATATCACACTGAATTTTTATTTCTAATCCTGGGATAGGCTTTTTTTTCATATTGATGACAAATATAAGTTTTAAAGGAGCGCAGGTGTAGCTTAAGCAATATGCATTTTGTATTAGCGTAAGTAAAAGCATTACCATAAAATCATAATATTATAGCAATTATTACTTTTATCCTTGCACAGGACTGGTGTTTTCCCTGTACTGGGTGGAGGACTTCTGAAAAATGCTCAGTCTACAGACTCAAGCTGATTTTTTTTCCTGAGTCAAAGGGTGGACAGTGACAACGTGTTTTGTTTTATCCCACTAGAGGGCCCATGTCAAGGGCTGAAAGCATCACTCCTTCCTTCTGCAGAGACGCCATACAATTGCTCCCAGGAGCAGAAAGCTGGACTTTCTATTGTTTGGCTTATCTTCTTTTTTAATTCTTTTTCGCTTTGTTTAGGTTTTTTTTTGTCTTGTTACTGGTTTGGGGTTTTTTTTTCCCCTCATGTGACAGTCTCTTAAACACCCTGGAACTACTTTCATTTTATTAACCTTTCACATAAGTTTTCCCAACAGGCACCACAAATCTGTCAGAGGCTTGTTACTTTAACAGCCTGATCTGAGCCAGTGACCTGGCATGGAAGATTTTGATTCCCATTACTCAGTCTTATAACCAGTGCATGCAGCTGTCTTCCCTCCATCCTTCCATCTTTCCCCCTCCAACACCCCCATATTTAAACTATAAACATTATTATAGGAAAGGCTGTTGAACTCACGGATCATTAGACTTGGGGATGAGTGTGCCAAGCTCCTTGATTCGGTAATTAATATTATACCTTCTTCTTCTCTCAACTGTTAAAAAGAAAGAGTTACTATTTTTGTGGCTAAATATTCTTGGAGAAATTCAACATAAAACATTTTAATTAGATAAAAACAAGTCAGTCAATATGCAGAAAAATTATTCCTCAAATAAATGTTCCAACAGAATCTCTTACCTGTCTCTGACTTACAGGGCAAACTCCATGATTAGTACTATCTTTATATCTTACCCTACCTAAAGGTTTCTCTCCCATTTACAGCTAGACCAGAGAATGAAATAGCCACATATTGTCTAAACATGAGCTAACACTTCTTTTTTTATGGTGTTTATGTATTCTTTTTCCACTCTGCTTCCACATAAGGGAGTTTTCAGCTTAGTGGAGTTTTGTAGATGACTTCAACAGTTCTCACTTTTAATACTTAGACACTGAACCATGAATTTCACTATGTTCTAAGCCTAAACTACAGGGAACTATTCCTCTAGAACTGCAATGTCTAACATCTGTGCATAGTTGCACTGTTCTTCATAAAGGAAACAGAACTGTATCCCAGCCTACAGCAGTTGGGGGGCTTGTATATCAGAGCAAAGTCAGAGCACTGTGAATTTTGCACTGATCTCTTTGGTCACAAACGATTTCCCCAAGTCTAAGTGCTTAAGTAAGTGCCTAGAAGTTGTCTGATAGCCTCTGTAAATATTTTTCCTTCGCATCACCCATAGAGAGATAACAGCCTCTCACTTGGATGTGTCAGCAAGTAAGGTGTGAAGACTGGATTTTCACTGTTGGTTTTTTTCATCACCTGCCATCATCTGTTTTGCACTGTAATTCTTAGAGACAATATCAAGTAAACTGTGCAGGTTATGTGTACAACTTTAGAATAAAAACTACTAGCAGGAGATGATATGGAAACAATTTAATTACAATATGCAAGTATTTTGAAAGTCAAAAGTAATGAAAATTAATTTCAGGGAAGAAAGCTCTGTGGTTGGCTGTGTTTGCAGACTGAGTTCAATCTGATTACCCTGGTAAGTTGCTGATCTAGAAGAAAAGCAGAGACATTGTAGCTAACATATATTATTTTTGTATTCCTCGTATATTCCAACTAATTAGATGGAAGATGAACATATACTTACTGAGATTATGGTTATCCTTCTTTTGTCTCTCCTTTGCCATTGCTCGTGTATCTGCTTCTGACAGAAAGTAACATTTATTAACACAGTCCTGAAGTTGCATTTCCAGTACTTCTTTCATTTTTTCAAAATGACCTCATGTCACAAAAAACAGCCTTCTAGTCTTTTTACTTCATTACTCTTTTTATTATGATACAAGATCATAAGCCAATCTATATTTTACCAGAACTAAATCTTGAGTAAGTAAGTCTGGCAGGTTGCTTAAGAACTTCCTATTGCACGTATTTTATTTAAGAATATAGAAATCCATGATGGGGTATTTTCTCCAATTTGCTGTGTTTTACATCAGGATAAAACTTACAAAACATTAATGTGAATATGAATTCATATATCCCATAATGCAAGAGTTAGTTAATCAGATTTGTAAGATATTGAACAAACTCACTGTTTCCACTGAGCGACACTAATAAACTACATGGTTGTTAGCATTCTTTGGATTAATTGAATGTAACTTTTAAAGTTGTTAATCCACTAATATAGATTTACCTTGAATAGCCTTATTGTAAGGCTTTAAAAGAAATATTTGTTCTATCCTGGAACAAATTTAATGGATCATAATTTATTTATACCATTGATCAGGAGCCAAATGTGGAAGAATCCAGTATGTTTTCCAAAATAATTAGGTTTGTTAGAAGCATGAAGTTCATAAAAATCAGAGAACAAACATGGTTTTTGAATTGCTAAAGAGAACAGAAGAAATCACTTCTCTTTGCTCTTTGTTTTTTCCTTAAATGAAACTACAAACTGCAAAATTCTCAGGAATTCAATTATGGACATCTGTTTCATGGGTAAGATTTATTCAACTTTTAAGAGACACATTGTTTCTTCTGCACTTATAAAATACTGAAATCTCAGAGTTCTTTTACCTGTGAGTTCCCTTTTTACAGGTAGATTAGCTGGGCAAGAAGCATTTGTGAGACCCATATTAGCTGGTGCCATTCCCTGGTCACTGTTATATATATCCAAAATGCTGCTAGATAGCTTGAGGAGTAAGAGGAGAAAAGAAAAATTATTAAAATAAGTTAGAGACTTAAAAGATTTAAAAAACATAAACACACAAAGCAAACTTCTTTGAATGTGAATCTGGTGTTCTTTAGAAGGAGCTGTGTATGTGTCTAAAAGGAAAGTTTACCTGTATGTAGTATTAACTAAAATTGAAAGTGAAGGGTCACAGTCTACCACTGTTACACAAGCAGCTTTCTAAGTGCCGTTTCTGTGGGTTTCAGATGCAGAGTGATGGCAGGATATGGCCCCCAGTGTCTGTTTTTCGATTACTTCTGTACCTTATTTTCCAATAACAGGATTACCACAAATGCACTTCAAACATAAATTAGGATGAAAGTGAAAATAACCTTGCTGGTTTTGACCTACTCACCTGTGAATTTTTAACCACATCACTAAACTCTGAATTGCTACTTCACACTGCGCCTGGTTTAGCAGTATAAAGATTCAGTGACCCAGTTAGATGCAATAGTTAAAATTAGAGTGGACAGAATATCAAAGAAACTGCTTTAAGGAAAGAAATCGTGCTGTTGTCAGGATGGACCAGATAACCTTATAGTTTTAACATCCGTAACATATAAGATCATGCATACCATTACCTTCCCAAATGTAATATAATATTATTTAAATAAATCTATAGAATGTGCTTAAAGGGAAGTAGGGCTAACGTATGTTTCTATGGATTCCAGATGATTACCCAAATATTACATTCACTTAAATAATTTTTCATATCTGGAATAACTGTAAAATATGTAAAAGTTCAGTAAAGAACAACAGTTCAGGCTTTGTACAGTCTCTATGACTCTATAACCAACCTTTCAGCATTGATCATTATCTTATATAGTTCTGTATTCTCATGTGCAAACAGGAGTATAAAGGAGTCCAAATGAAGATTCACCAAAAAAAATTTTGCATTCTTATTGCCTTCTAAGGCAATAAAATCAATATTTTTTTTTTCATTTTATCATGCATATAATGTTTGTGCTGAAAATTTTGCTTTTTCAGCCAACACACAAGGACACAGAAAGTGAGTTTGGGGTCACCTGGTCAAGGAGAAAGAGGAAAAAAAAAGGAAGAAAAAGTGATGAAAATTGTAGGTAAAAATATTGATGTGAAACAGAAAAGCATGAAAGGAAATTAGGAGCTCTTTAAGAAAATTGTTTTTCATAGACATGAAAGTATGTTCTTTACAGATATGCTCTGCACTCATGGATCCTGAAACTCCCTGGAATTTTTCAGACAGGTCACTGAGACACCAACCATAGTTCTGCTAGAAACCAGCTTTTTTTAGACTCTGATTATAATTTTATTAAATTATCTGAGAACCCAGATTGTGTTAAATTCTCCCAGTTGTATGACCTACAATGAACTAAAGCAATCAGGCTACTTTTTTAATGCACATAAATAACGTTCACTTTTAAGATAGAGGTTTATTACTTAGGAGAGTTGTCATTCTTAAATACTATTAGAAATCACACCACCAAGGCAGTTTTGAAAACCTGCTTATATATTCAATCTCTCAATGAAAATACTTTTTAAAAGAATGATTGTAATTCAGCTGAGTATTACTCAAGAGCCAGCTATGTTTAATATGCAGGATTTGAATGCTAAGTGCATTGTCATGTTAAGCACCTTTGTTTAATTCCAAAATGGTAAACTGACAAGTAATACTGCAGGTTTACCTTTGCATTTTCTTTGTTCCAGGGATAGTATAACTATATTACAAGACTGAACTCTTATTAGCTCTAGACACATATTTAATTACTTCCTACATTCATGTAAATGAATTTGGCTTATTGAAATTACATGAAAACAGGATGATATAAAAAATTGAGAGTCAGTGTGACTCCCACACTTATTCCAGTGGACTTCGGATAAGGCTGTTACATGGCTTAAGCTACTGGTTTTGTGAAATGCCGGGAAATGGCAACCACTGAAAAGAATATAACCTATTAAATAATCTAAGAAATGAAAAATGCATATGTCATATTTTACACGTTTTACACAGCTGTGTACATGAATTTAATAACTTGCATGAAACTTGTGGTAATTTTTTAACTTATAAGAATTTCAATATCAGTAATGAAAAAAAACCCAGAATTTTAAACCACAGTTTGACCAACACAAGATACAACAATAATTACCTCTAATTTTCAAGGAGTAATTCATTCATAGAACTTTCATAGAAAATTCATAGAACAGTTTGGGTTGAAAAGGACCTTAAGATCATCTAATTCCAACCCCTCTGCCATGGGCAGGGATTCCCCACGCTACACTATGTTGCCCAAGGCTCTGTCCAACCTGGTCTGCCAGGGGTAGAGCATTTATCACTTCTTTGGACAACCTATTCCAGTGCCTCACCACCCTCATGGTAAAGAACTTCTTCCTTATATCTAACCTGAAATTCACCTTTATTCTTGAAATACAGTTAGATTTCTATAGTCTATTCACAAAGGTGTGAATTCAAACGATAAGGCCCAAATCCAGGAGAAAAGGTCGTGAATGGCCAACTTAGCTGGTAATGAAAAAATAATATGAACACATCTGAAAGTTCAGAAGTGTGTAACAGTTCAAAGGAGGGTGAGTAAACTCAAAACCACAGGTAGACCTTCAGCAGAATTTAATTACACAGCTGATGAATGTACTTCCATCTAACTCATATGTGATTGTCTGGAGTGATAAGAGTTCATATGCCTCCTTCCATCAACAGAAATGTTGCAGCAGTGTCATCCCACACAGCCAGGGCTGCAAGTAAGAGTCTGTCCATGGTCTATGTCTGGCTGAACTGATGCTTCCATCGAACAGAAAAGTCATGAAATATTTTCCTAGAAGTCCTGTATCATCTTTCTTTCACATGGATGGTCTCTAGCATTTTTTCCACTGATCATTTGGCAATTTTTACTAGTCATTAGAAAAGCAGAGTCATAACTCCATGTGGAGATGATGAAAATGAAACCCAAACCCAAGTCATTAATCTACTGGTGGCTACAATCCTATAACCTCACTAATTAAAATGATTCACATAAATGTTAATCCAGAAGGGATAGGCAAGGAAGGAGAGGCAGTTGGGTAGCTGTGTATGTGAGGGAGAGTTTTGATTGTCTAGAGCTTAATGATGGTGGTGATAGGGGTTGAGTGTTTATGGATGAGAATCAGGGCAAAGGCCAACAAGGCTGATATCATGATGGGAGTCTGTTACAGACCACCCAAACAGGATGAAAAGGCAGACAAAATATTCTATAAGCAGGTGAAAGAAGACTCCTGGAGTGTGTGGAAGATAACTTCCTGACAGAGCTGGTGATGGAGCCAGCAAAGGAAGGACCTGTTATTTATGAACAGAGAAGGAATTGTGAGTGATGTGGTAATTGGAGGCTGTCTTGGACACAGTGATCATGAGGTGATAGACTTTTCAACTCTTGGATAAATAAGGAAAGGGTCAACAGAACTGTTACCTTGGACTTCTGGAGGGCAGATTTTAGCCTGTTTAGGAGACTGGTTGACAGAGTTCTTTGGGAGGCAATCCTGAAGGGCAGAGGAGTCCAGGAAAGTTGGTATCAGTTGGTATCAGAAATAATGTGGCCAGCAGGACTAGGTAAGTGATTGTCCTCCTGTACTTGGCACTTGTGAGGCTGCACCTCAAATAATGCCTTCAATTTTGGGCCCCTCACTACAATTGGTGCTAAAGCATGTCCAAAGAAGGGCAATAAAGCTGGTGAGGGTCTAGAGCAGAAGCCTTATGAGGAACGTCTGAGGGAAATGGGGTTGTTTAGCCTGGAGAAAAGGAGGCTCAGGGGAGACCTGAAAGGAGATTGTAGAAAGATGGATGTCAGCCTCTTCTGCTAGTTAACAAATGATAGGACCAGAGGAAATGGCCTCAAATTGCTCCAGGGGAGGTTTTGGTTGGCTATTAGGAAAAATTTCTACACCAAAAAGGTTGTCAAGCCTTGGAACGGGCTGCCTAGGAAAGTGTTTGAGTCACCATCCCTGGAGGCATTTAAAAGATGTGTAGATGTGGCACTTGGGACCATGGTGTAGTGGTGGATTTGGCAGTGCTAGGTTAATGGTTGGACTTGATCTTAAAGGTCTTTTCCAACCTAAATGATTCTATGACTCTAGTCACTAAGAGTGTCAAAACCAGCATTCTGTCATGCCATTAAAAAGAAATTTGATCTAACGTTAACTGTCCTAAATTATTCTCCAGAACTTGGACATCAGAGAGTAACCCTATGCAACAGCTCTGTCACAGACTGCCTACAAAATTCTCACTCATTTACCTATCTTGAAAACATTAATTGCCGAGTGTCAGAATCACAGGTATGACTAGTAGAACTGTTTTTAATAATCCATAGTTAAGGTACTTCTGGGGAATAGAGAATGGTTTGACTCTCCTAAGCCTGTCATCATCTCAGTCAGTGTGCTGAAGGAATGGAAAACAGAATAAACAGTTTACTCAGCTGGCCATAAAAAAGACACACACAAAAAGTTTCTATTATTCATACCTTCATCCCTTCCAGGTCTAGGTTTGCTGTCTCCCTTCAACATTTGCCTGGATGATTCTGCTCAGTACAAAAGCAGTTGTGTCAATCACACTATCAAGTGCCTCTTTCTTCTGTGTATTTAGCAGAGTTCTCAGGTATATTGTAGTGGCCACTGTGATGGATAAGTGGCTTCTTTGTGGATAGAGCAGAGCCACTGGTGATCTCCATTTGCCACACTGTCCTCATTCTCAGTTAGCTAGCACAGCATTTTCACACTTAGAGTAGGGCAAAGTGGGTATAAAGCACCAACAAATTAGACTACCTTGACAGTCACTTCTTTCCTACATATATGGTGACACATGGAAAAATCTGCTATGAATTAGTGCACAGGGAATAACTCTCAGTGTCAGGATTCAGGATCAGAAGAAGAAATAAGAGGTGATTAATCTGACCTGTCTTGGATGCTTAGAGTGAGCTGAATCACCTTCATCTTCTTCTTAA